TCTGGCTGGCATCGTGTCTAAACGCCCGTCTTCTCTCTCACTCTCCTGTTGCTTGCTGGGCATCTGGGCCGCTTCCAAGACCCAGCTTTTAGGAGCTGTGCTGCTGTCAGAGGAGCGCGCCTGGCTGGCTAGAACACGATGCCTTCAACTCTTTGGGGAAGATGTACAGAAAAGGAACAGCTGGGTCAACTGGGATTTCTACTCTAGTTTCCTGAGGAATCTCCACACTGAGGTCCACAATGGCTGCCCCTCGCTACACTCCTGCCAACAGGGGACAAGCTGGCTTTTCTCCCTGCAGCCTCACCAGCATTTGTTATCATTTGATTTCTTTTTTTTATCTTTTGGAACAGGGTCTCACTATGCAGCTTGGACTCATAGTGATCCTCCTGTCTCAGCCTCTCCAGCGCCGGGATTACAGGTGTGCGCCACCCAGGGCTGGATCGAACTCGGGACCTTGCGCTTGCCAGGCAGGCGCTCATACAGCCAAAGGATCTCCCGGCCTCATTTGATTTCTTCATGATGGCCATTCTTTCTGGGATGAGGTGCACTCTCAGCGCTGTCCTAATTTCATTCCTTTTGAGGCCAGCCACGCCGAATGTTTTTCCATGTACTTGTTGGTCGTCTGTGTGAAGTCCAGGCAAGACTACAGCAACCCAGCACCGTGTGGAGCAGGGTCTCCCCAGTAGCTGCAGGACCCCAGGGGTGTTTGCTGGGACACTGTGAGCCACACCTCCTTGATGGTGGCCTCAAACTGGGGTGCTCCAGCTTCCTCAGCTTCAACCTTCCAATGAATTCGCTAGGAAAACATTTTAGTACACTTCACTAAAGTATATTTGTTTAAGTATGAAAACACCCACATGAGCAGCTCCCAGATTAAGTCATAGAACATTTTCACTCTCCCCAAAGTTCCCTTATACTATTTTAAACTAATGTGCATTCCAGAGGTAGCCATTGCTTTAACTTCTGTCACCAGAGAACAGCGTGGTCTATTTCTGGAACTTTATATAAATGGAACAGCACAGCAAAAATACTCCTCTGTGTGCCGTGAGTTCTTTATTCAACTTGATAGTTTTTCACTTTACTCACGCTGTATTTATTCGTAGTCTGCCCCTTTATCGATGAGTAGCACTCCAAGGATGACCAGACAGCCAGCATGGGCATGGGAGGCTGCTCAGGATCATGAGTCACGATGGAAATGCGCTTCAAAACCACACTGAGATGCTTGAATTAAAAAAAAAAGAAAAACTTTAAAAGACCGCAACACCAGGTCATAATGCAAAATGAAACTCTCCTACATTAAGGAGCAAGTATAAAATTCCCAGCCCCTTTGGAAAACTCCTCGGCATTTTCTGAGAAAATTAACTACAATCTGGCCATAACTTTGTACTTCCAGCCTCCACCTACTCCAGAGAAATACCAGTGCAGGCACACAAAGTATTAAATGTTCCCAGCAATATTATTTGTAATGATCCCAAACCAGAAACTACCCAAGCGCCTGTCAGCTGGAGAATGGGCGCCTGCAGAGTGCCGTGTTCGCGGGCACACTTCCCGAGGGCCTTGCGTGCAAGGCATGCTCTTCACTCGGCATCGCTGCCCTTCGTGGTGCGTCTCGCTTTGTGGAGGAGCTCATTTCACTTGTGGCTTCCCCTGGAAATAGGAAGGCCACGCAGGACCCCACAATGTCTGGCCCCAGGCAGGAGCCCTGCCTTCCCCGGGCGGTGACACTCTAGATGCTGGGTCAGGCTACATTGGGCTAACGTCTGATCTTGCAACCACTTCCTGCATAGGATGGGACACCCTGAGCAGGCGACACAGTGACAAGCCATGGCTGGTCCCTGAGGAGGAGACTGGGGTTAAGAGCTGGAGTCTCACACTCAGAAAGGCTGTACTCGAATCCCAGGACTTACTGAGTGCTTTTGAGCACACTTGGGTCTTCTAATGTGTGTAAGTCACCTCCTTAATTCAGACGATGACCAGTGCCCCAAATGCGTTCTAGCAACTAAGTGACGGGATGCACAGAAGTGTCCAGGGCACCGTCTGGCCTCGGGAGGTGTTTAATTAATGCTATTTGTTGTTGTTGTTGTTAATATTCTCAATATAATAAGAAGAGAGAGAAAATCATAACTAATTATAAATACAACACAGACAATTGGGGATACTGGCAGTAAAATGTGCTTTGGAGATATTGAAAAGCATGAGTCTAATTTGCCTAGAAATTCTGGTAAATTTCTCACAAAAGTTACAGAGCTGTAAACTGCCAGTTTAGGAAATATGATCAAACACTACAATAAGAGATCCCATAATTTAATAAAATCCCACAACCTTAGTTCCAATCTAGGGTTATCTCTGCACTTAGCCACAGGACTTTGGACAAGACCTTTAACCCCTCTGAGGTCTTCATCATGTATGGAGGATGAAATTCTTGCTCTGAGGGATTCGAGAATTACAATTCTTATTTCAAATGCATGTGGGGTGTAGAAGAAGGTCTAACCCTCGCACAATGCATGAATCTTAACCACCCTCGTACTGCAGAAGTGCACAGGTTCAGGGTCCACACACTTGGGGTGAGTTTGGGGGACACCGTGGCCAGGCGGCATTTGCTTCCTGCAATGACTCTTAAGTAGCTCTAGGTCACCTCAAGAATCTGGGTGTCCTTTCAGCCAGGAAAAGGAAAGCACATACAAAAATATGTGCACAAATCTAGCATTCAAAGGCTTCTAAGTGAGAATCCAGCTTGTGAAGTTACTATTTCCAAAAACCCCAATAAAGAACTTAGCATCAGCCAATAAGGTGGGAAGTCAAACCACAAGCGGTGGGCCTGGGCTTCTCGCTCCCATGTCTTGCTACCTAACTGCTGCTGACAGGAAGCAGGGTGGGTACGGAGAGCACACCCAGCAGAAATGCTTCGCTCTCTGCCAGTGTTTCCTCCTTCCTCCAGCAGCCTCAAACACCGTGAACACTGTGCTCCTCTTGCGTGACCTACAGCCAGCACAGCAGGCCCCGCTCTTGCGACCCTCCAGCAAGCAGTCCTATGTGCTTGCCAATAACCTCCCTGAAGGGTCTGTCAGACCCCTGCCTGCCCAAAGCACATTTCCTTGCCCACACTGAAGTCCACTCAGCTCACTGGGCACTGCCCTCCCATCGCAAAGGGTGCAGGCCAAGTGTTTGCTTTTTAAATGTTTTACCCAGAAGGCTTTCCTCTTTGTATAAAGGACCGAAATGCTCCACTCTGCTGTAGAAGAATTGGCTGATTATCAACAGAACCATCTGTAGAAACTTGCGCGCCATCAGGCGAAAGTCGGCCTTACTTCCACCAGGGTGTGAAGACTGACAAGCTCGCTTCCCCGGATGCTGCTCCCGCCCCCTCTCCACCCTCACACCTCTCCACCCTTGCCTGGCCGTCTCTCCTCCCCACCACTCCCTCTGCCTTCTGTGAGCCCCAGGCCCCTGGATCTTGCAGAACCTTCTCCTAGGCTTCCCGGCTCCTGCCCTTCTGACTAACTAGGTAAAAGGGGGTGGGGGAAAGGCTGCAGGTCAGAGCAGGTGTCCTTGCCCCCACTCCCTCTTGCACCTGGGCAGTGGCTGGCCCCTCCGGCTACCAGTGCTGTCGTGGCCCCTGCCCAGGAGCCCGGCTTCTCTGGACCCCTCCATGCTACTTCCTCCCTCGCACACTCACCTGATGGTCACCTCTCCTGTGGCTCCTTGCCAGGTGCCCCAGTGTCTGGGCTCGCTCCCTCGCACTGCCCACTGAGCCACCCAGCCGCCAATGTCTCCGGCACACCTGAGTCCCACTCGGCATCCTGCCAAACTGTGAGGGTGCCACCACTGCCAAATCACCTTGTCTAGGGAAGTTATTTGTTGATTGCCTCTATCCCTTCTGCGGAAACTAACTCAAGACTTTAGCTTGTGCGGCGCCCTGGCTCCATGTTGCTCCCCAGCCCCAGGGGTGAGCTGCAGCGTCACTGGCACCCTTGGGGCGGCCGGCGCTAACCTCCGACACACTGCCCAACAGGCATTAGCAAGGCCAGGGGACCCTTCCTCCTTCCCAGATCCAAACGAAAGTGCTAAGGAAGTTAGCAAGGAGGGAGAGGCCGTCCGTGAGAGAATGACGAGCCACCTCAACCTGCAGCAGTGGCACGGGCATGGCAGTAAGACAGCAGCGCCCCTGTGGCAGGCGTGGCGCCTGAACACCAACTGCCGCCAGCTGCTCTGGGAGTCCCGTGTCCTCTCACTCAGCAGCTGACCCTGAGGAAAGCAGTGGTTGGCTGTGGCTTCGCCGCTCCGCACACAGCGGGTCGCGTCCGTCTATAGAGAGAGCACTGTGGACTCCCAGGAGGCGGCCATTTCCTCGTGCTGCCCACCATGTAAGCCAACCTTCCCCTCGCAGCTTGGGCGCTCACTCTAGAATGCAAACCTCACTTCATTACCCTCCTGGATTAAAGCCCACAAATGGCTTCCCCTTACTTTGACATACATTAAAAACTCCCTTTAGTGCCCTACAAGTCCCAGTGTGGCCTAGCCTCTGTGCTCCATCTGCACCCGGGGCCCCCTCAGCCACACAGGCCTCGCTGGGTCCCTCCCATGATCACCACACTGGCTCCTGTCTCAGGGTTTGCACACAGGTTCCCTCAGCCCGCGGCAGACATGCCTAGCCCCCACCTGGCTCCCTCTCATCAGACATCCCCTCCCAGAGGCTGCTCGCTGACATTCCCACCTGATGCCAACCTCTCAGCACCTGCCCACAGGACCACTCACAGGCGACACTTGCTGGCATCAGCTGGTCTGTGTCTGGCCTTGCCCTCCACGTGTCCCCAGCACCCTGAACAGTGCCTGGCCACAGCGGGCATTCAAGCGAGGGTTAAGCATGAGGCTGATTTCATGCGATGTATGATAACACCAGGCAAAGGTCCTCCTAACAGTGCCACTGTGTGGTTGTCCTGGAGCAAATGCAAACAGCAACAGTTGGCAAGGGACTGTCGCTTAGGAAAAGCCAACACCACAGGACGCCAGCACATGGGCGGCTGCACACTCAGCACCCAAGACCACGCAGCCCCCTCAGAAGGGGGACCCGGTTCTCCCGTGGCTCCGACCTCTGCTGCAGCACCTGGGAAAATGCCCAGAAGGTCAGTGGCATGTTGCTTCTTCCTGAGTTTTGTCTAACCTCATCGGTGCCTACCTGCCCAGAGTTCACGTACACAGCTCAGTAGCCGAGGTGTTGGGTTGGGGCCTACGGCCCACCTGAATGCAGCTCGACACTCAGCTGTAAAACTGAAGAGAACTAACGATCAGCTCTGACTGCTCGCTGGAAAGATGACGCAGCTGAGACAAATGTTAGATTGCCTGTGAGACACACTTGTAATTAAACTTGGTAATGATTTTAACTTTATAGCATAGTTCAACTTATCATGATGGAACAAAAGTGTTTCATATTATTCAAGTGTGTGAAATTACATTTAATAAATGATAAAAGTTCTTCACCAAGCATTGCTCTGGCTTCTCAAGGGCTTCATGCCCTGATGTACGGGGCAGAGAAATGGTCACAGGGCCAGGCAGTGTCGTCGGCCACTTTGCAGTGCACCCTGTGGCCACACAGCTGCAGGGAAGGCCGAGCGGTGCGGGCTGGGCCAGCACCTGAGATGCATCTTCACTGTGCCCAACAAGCAAAGGATTTGGCCACACAGAGGGCGGCTCCACTAGAATGCTCAGCGAATGGCTACAGAGGGCCGGGGATGTAGCGCAGCGGCATAAGCGCCTGCCTGGCAAGCGCAAGGTCCTCAATTCAATCCCTGCTCGAAAAAACAAATAAACAAAAGCTACAGAAAAGCATTGCTTTGGAATGGTCGTACTGCTTTGCTTCTTTGGGGGATACCAATACCCAAACTTCAAGTCTCACCATGTTTCTTTCCCTCTGTTGGCAGCACTTCAATACCCAAGCAACTGGCTTCAATAAAAGGTAAGACAGGAAAGGACCGGAGGTGTGTGTCGCTCCTCCGGTGTGACAGCATGTACACCGCGAGTAACAGAGAAGAGCATCAAAGGCCAGAGAGGCGAGCTTGTGGGTACTCACCACACATCAGCGGAGCTCTTTTCAGGGATCTGGGAGCCGAGACCCAGGGGAGGGGCTGGCTGGCTCACACTAGGACGTCCCACAAAAGGCAAAGCAGGATGGGACGGGGTCTCCTAAGCCAGCCCCTGTTGTCTCTCCATGAATTCCCCGGGACGCCCACAGCAGAAACACAAGCTTCGCAGGACTCACGTGCTCAGTGGGACTCGGGGCCATGGGCTTCCAGCGCCCCTGTGCATGGCACAAAAGCCTGGTGCGGCCCACACCCAATCAGGGACTGTTTTCCTGGGACTTGGGAAGGTGCAAAGTAGCCCGGCACCGGCAACACTGCCGTGGGTCTAACAGTACAAACACAGCGCACATACGGTGGGTCATTCTTACCCAAAATGGGCTGGCTCAGAGTGGCTGCAGCCTCGTACGCAACCAAACAGGCCCACAGCGCAGGCGCTCCTCCTCCTGGACAGCTGGCCCGCAGCTCCAGAACAGGGTGAGCTTATTTAAGTAAGTCTCTGTCTTGGTAAAATATTACTTTTAAACTATGACAATATGACAGATCTATGATTTGTTTCAAAACTGCATTTTTTAAAATAACATGCTGTGTTCTTCACTGCATTATTATCTGAGATAACAATCTGTGGCCTTTTTAGTCATTTGCAATAGATAATACCAATCTTTGCTTTGGAGAATTGTGGGTGTATGAAACATATCTTAATTGGGGGCTGGGGAGATAGCTCAGTGGCATAAGCATCTGCATGGCAAGCACGAGGTCCAGAGTTCGATCCCCAGTACCCTGGGTGCACCATGCTGGCCACATAAACCAGGCATGGTGGTGCATGCCTGTAATCCTGGCCCTGGGAAGCTGAGGTGGGAGGATCACTATATATAGTGTAA